AGGCATATAGGAGGACCACGTGGCGCTCAAAAAGGCAACTCCACCTCCCTTTATTAAGATGTAGATGGATTTAATAGGTAAAAAAAAAAACTGTAGGTAGGAAATGTTGAGTGTAGGTTTATCGGAGCCCAACATGCAGTCAAAAAGAGACAATAATTACTAGAGACTATTGTGACTGTTATCCAATCGCATATTTCCAACCATTGCCTTAATGAATAAAGTAATATTTAAAATGACACCGTCACGTACATGACTTTTTTTTTTTTCAAACGGCAGAAACATACTCATAAAAAAGGCCAAAAGGCAATGTACAACAGACGAGCCCGAAACCGGGAAATGAGAGGTTACACATAACTAATGTAACCTAGACCGAATACCAACTAGCAAAGTTAGAACGACCAACACACTACAACACCAACACCAAACTAAAACCACAACGAAAAAATACAGAAATAAAATCCCCAACAGGGTAATAGCCGAGTGTAAATTCCCAACAGGAGAATAAAGGCTACACTCAGCCAAACTAAACTAGGGCCAACGGCACAAACCAAAAACACATAGACCACACCAGCACAAACACAACGATCACACAAAAAGAAAACCAAAGAACATAAACATCAATAAACTAAAACAAAGCCCTTCCCCGGCGATCCGAACTAAGCTCAACCAACAGTGAACGACCGACACAAAGAAAGCCCCGAGCCCGAGAACCGCTACCGAAACTGCACAAACGCCTATACAGTAGGTGAACTCAACCCCCGAGACAAACTCAAATCGACCCATCTCTAACCGAGAGAGCCCGAAACCAGCCACCACGCCAGCCCCACCGAACTCGTCTAACACCACTAGCCAAGCTCATAGGACCCAATCCTCTGCCGCCTAACACCACTAGCCGACCGAGGAAAAAGCGTGAGTGGCCCAAGCCCTCAACCCCAACAGCCGCACCAGACCGACACAGCAACCGGGATCCCGCCCCACTCATCGACTCCCGCACCCCCAGACACCACCAATTGCCGAGACCCCGCGACAAATCCCCATCCAAACAGGTGAAACCCCCGTCGGAGAGCTACAGCCCAACAGCCACAAACGAGAGCCGATGGAAATGCAACACACCGCAAACCAGAGCCCCGCCGGCAATCGAAGATAGAACCTCCAATCGTCAGCCAAAAGACAGCCGGGTGCGTCATCTTCTCCCACCAAGGCCCCATCAGCGACCACAGACCGGCCACCGTATCCCAAACAATCCATGGCCACATCGAGAACGCGCTGCACCGGAAGTGGGCCAGGCGGTCAAGGACGACCCCTGGCCGAGCTAATTCATCACGGAGGAAGGCGGAAAGATTGGATTTTTGAGAGGAAGGGTTTCACAGAAATTGGGGATCGGGGGAAAGAGAAATTCTGAAATTATAATTTCTATCCCGTCACGTACATGACTTACCATCTCATATTATAATTTTTTTAATAATATCCTATAACTACTTTGTAGATAAGTTAGTTTAAATAATTTTATTATTTTGAACTAATATTCATAGACAATTTAATTTTAATTATATATATAAATAACATTATTTATTTATTTTGTATATATAATATAGATGTCAAATCGAAGTTTATCAAGACACAATTAATTTTATATATTACATATAAAAAATTATTAACTTTTAAATATATATTTATAATTCAAGTTAGTAAGTTTTTTATAATTTTAAAAGAAATATGAGGAAAAAAGAAAGATTAAGAAAAAAATTATACCTTGCAAACAACGTCTACAATAAGAAATGATATTAAACATAATTAATGCTCTTAAAAAGAATTACAAATATCCAATATATTTATGAATATTTCAAGCTTGGTTACTTTTGTATAAGAAATTAATTAAAATTCATCCAATTCAAACAACAAAGTTTAAAAATTTGTCACATAAAATCTCAGAGTGTGCGAGTCTGTCAATTAGGCTCAAATGTTCGAACATTATATATAGGGGAGATATAAAAGGAATTGAACCAGGTCTGAGCTCTTCTTTCCATCCAGAAAAGATTCTTGTGCGGGTTCAAAAATGAATTACACTACTTAAAAGAGGGGAGGAAAATAGATTGACATGAGCGTAATTTCTTGTCAGGAAATTTAATAAGTAAACGAAAACGTTAAGCAGGAAATGTTAGGTCCAGGTGCTCGACCAAAAGAGATGCTGGACGTTGCGGAATACTTGCTGGGAATGTGAAGAAATGTAATGCATTTCAAATTTTAATGGAAAATTGAATAGCAGAACAAATTCTGATTGGATTGGAATTTGTTGCGTACAATATGTATCAACGAGATGAGCCCAACGTTATATTAAACTATTAGAATGGAAGACGAAAAATACTATAATTCCACAAAACAAAGATAACAGGGGAAATCATGTATATTGTTGGAATATCACTTATAAGTTGTCTCATATCGATTCTATAGGAAAAATGAGCCTTGTATATAAATCTAGTGGGAAGTCATCCCATCACCAATTGGTTTTGGGATGAAACTTCAATAAGGTGCAACTAGGTTCACCCTCTTATGGTGCGTTTCTTCTGGTGGGATCACACCCTCTTCCCTTTGATATAAAAAATCTAATATATGTGTAGAAGTGTTATACAAAAAATTGAATAAATAAACGGAGTCCATTTGGGCTCATATAATGAGGAACTAGTGCGTGGCTCGTGCGATGCACGGGAAAACAATATGACGATTATATTATAAATTAAATATATAAATATCATTAATTACGATTTACCTATTGTTTTTAAATTAAATTGGGTTGGACACAGTCCGACGGATGGATCGATGGTTTATAACCAGTGTAGTTCGCTTCAATAAAATATTTGCTATCGTATCCGTCAACACCAGTCGGTTGGACTGGTATGATCGATACGGTTTTCTAAATAAATTTTGTTACATTAAAAATTATTTTAAATAAAATTACATATTTAAATAAAATAGAGATTTATAAATTGTTTATCAATTAGTTTGAACATTTGAATTTATAAATTGTTTAGATATTTAAGTAACACATTTTATTTAAATTATTACAAAAAGTACTATATATATAGATATTAAAATGTATATGATAGATATTAAAATATTTATAAATTAAAATCTGAACAAACCACAAATGATTTAATAGAATAAAGTTATCGTTTCGATGACGGTTCGATTTAGAAAACCATACTGTAAATTAATAAAATTATAATAAAAAAATTATTTTAATCACATATATATTAATAAAATGATATATAAGTATTCATTAATCATTAAACATGTTGTCATAAAAGTATTGTTTATATGATTATTTGAAGTTTGAGGAATATTAAAAATTGAAATGTATTAATAAATAAATATTGTTGTCATATTCACATGGCAATTCTTATTAAAATTTGAAAAATGGTTAACGTACAGGCAGTTACATGTTGAAAATTTATTAACAAAACCTCATAAATTGAAAAATTATTGTTAACGTACAGGCTGTTACTATTTCAATTTGAAGTGAAAATCACGTATCTTTATATAACAAAGTTTGTTAATCACTCTTTTAATATGTTAATATGATTATTTGAAAAAAAAATTACTAAGAATGGTAGGTAATTAATTTTGACCGAAATTTGACTTGCCATTTTTTAAAATTGTTAATTCTTATTATATATATATAGGTAAAATATATAGTACCCCCTTGTATTATACGAAATCTGCGCGTTTCCCCCCTGTATTTTAAAAATTGCGGTGTTTCGCGAATACAAAACCTTAATAGAAGGGGGTCTGACGCAATTTTTAAAATACAGGGGGGAAACGCGCAGATTTCGTATAATACAAGGGGGTACATGAATGAAAGCCGAATGATGTTTTTGAAATGTGTACAGAGAGTAAAAAGAGTACAGAAGTGTTTGAATATAAAAAACAAAAGTAGAAGCAATTAACTTAAAAAGTCTCTTCGGGGAGCGTCTCGCTCTCCCTCGGAGTTTTTTCATTAATAACTCGGTTTGCGCGCATAAAGTACACTTTGGACTTACAAGACTCGAACTCCCTTTTAGACTAGCCAACATAATACCCAAACATATTAACTAATCCTCCGCCTCAAATGAGGACTTCACTACAGGTAAGAATCCCTCCCATCTACACGAGTAATTAATTCCTAAGCACGAAAAGTGTTGGTAAAAACGAAAAACAAGACAAAATTCATAAGAGCACTGAAAAACTGTTCACAATAAAAACTAAAAATGCAAATCTCACAAACACTCAAAGAAGTCTCCAAGACATGATCGAGATCTCCCAATGATGAACCGATATTTTCAATCTGCAATCTTGATCAACCAGCTCCTTCGTTTCCTTAAGTACACGATCTCCAACAAATATTTGAAAAAACATAAGGTGACAACATCCTTTCATAAATAAAGTCTAAGAGATAGTTAAGAAAAACTTTCGATACTAAATATATATCAATATTTTCGAACATAAGAGCTAATACGGAGTACCGCACCAGATAGAACAAACCCAAAGCTGACTAGACCGAGCGGATCGGTTGGTCAAACAGAGTAACAGACAGGTCGGATAGAGGTCGGGTGCCAGTGCAAAATCAGGAGTCTTCGGGTCGAAGAAGGCATGAGGGAGGGAAGCAGCGACAGGTCGAGCTAGGGTCCTCGGATGGCCTGTTGGAACCTCAATCTGAAGATATGGTTGGTCGTTGCAATCGACTAGAAGGAAAACACTTAGACTCGGTATATGCGGCATTTTAATTTAACAAGATTCGAGCTGGTTGTACGATTAGGCGGTCTAATAATTAGGCCAAAATAGTTTTCAGAAAATTGAATGAGTATGACAAATGTACCGTTTTTAATGATTTCGAATTGCACACGTCTTGCTAATGTCCAATTTCACGTACCTTTTTCGAAATTACGCAAAATTAAAGTTTTGTAAATTAGTTAAAAAGTTAAAATAAATTATATAGAGTTAAAAAGTTAAAACATTCAACATGGTTGCATTCCAAAATGTCCCTATATATATCCAGTGGACCAGTTCAATATTTTGTACCTCTTACAAATAAGCTTCTTTCCAACAATGGATAATTGTAACTTACTCATTTTTCTACAGTTTTATGTTCTTGTTTTTCCTTTTCTTCTAGCTTCCTCTGCTCAAGATAGACAGGTTTTTCGATTTTTCTAAAGTGAAACTTTCACAACAATAAAATGATGAAATTTCAATAGAAAATATATTCAAATAAAATTCCAGCGGCAATTCCAATTGATATTTTTAGTGCTATTATTTCCGTTGGAATTTTTCAATGGATTCCAATGGAAATTCCAAAAAAAATATTCCGTGGGAATGAATTTTCTATTGGAATTTCCGTTGGATTTTGACGACTCCAACGGTATATTTTCCAACGTGGGTGGAAATAAAAATTTCAACGGAAATTGCATATTTTAACGGAAATTCCAACGGAAAAAGGCTGTTGGAAATATAACTGTTGGAATCATCAAATTCCATCTAAAATTCCAATGAAAAACACATTCCAACGGAATATTTTTGTTAGAATTTCCGTTGGAATGATTCCAACAGAAGCTATACCATTGGAATATCCGTTGGAATTTATATTGGAATATATTATCATACGATTTTCCGTTGGAATATAACAAATTTTTTGTAATGTTTTACTGTAAATAAAGTGTTATTATATTTTTAGAATTACAACTTATGTTATATATGCAAAACAATATCGTATAATTATAATTTTTATTCATAGGTATATATCGTGTACCTCGGGGAGCATACTGGAGGAAAATCTCACCAAGAGATAGAAGAAAACCATCTCTCTTATCTGTTGTCTGTGAGGAAACTGAGGAAGATGTAAATTCTTCTCTTATTTATAGCTACAAACACAGCATCAATGGCTTTGCCGCTTTTCTTACCCAACAAGAAGCTTCGAAAATTTCAGGTGAGCCAAAACTGAAATTAAGGGGAAATTTTCAAAATTATTCCCACATGTATAAGGGACTGAAATTTTGGGTCAGTGAAAATCAAAAGTTTGACAACTTTAAAAAATTAATCAAAAGTATGACTTATTTTGATGTCGGATTTGCGATTTCTGGCCCGAAAAGTCACGCCGCGAGAGGTTGCCTTTTTTTTTACACGCTGGCGACAGTCATCACACGTGGAACGTTTACTTATGGGACTAGTTTTATAATTCTTCTTATTTTTTGTATTGTTATACTCTTGTTATGTTATATAAACTATTAATATATATATATATATATATATTAATATAATCATGAATATATATAATTATTTATTATATATATTTACAAACGATTTCAATTATGAATAAGGATACAATATGCATTAAAATGTAATTCGAAATCTTTTAGTTATATTTTGTGACTTGTTATTTTTAATAGTTATTCCTGTAGCTTCTTTTTAATATTAAGTTATTATAAATTACAAAAATAGTTTTATTCATGACATAATTATAGTTAACATGTTTTACTATATTTTTTATTTTTTTAATTAGTTTCTTATATTTTGTGACGTGTTATTTTTAATAGTTATCCTTTTATCTTCTATTTATTGATAAATTATTCTAAAATTACAAAAATAATTTTATTCATGACATAATTACAGTTAACATTTTTTATTATATTCTTTTATCTTTTTAATTAGCTTCTTATATTTGTGACGTGTTTTTAGTAGTTATCCTTTTATCTTCTTATTATTAATAAATTATTCTAAAATTAAAAATTAGTTTTATTCGTAATATAATTATAGTTAATATTTTTTTTCATGACGTAATTATTTTTCATAATTTTATAATTATTTGATAAACAATATAGTAAAAAAAATTACTATAATTTTGTATGAATAAAACTATTTTTGCAATTTTATAATGATTTAAAATTACATTTAATATTTTTACTATAAGTTTTATTAAATAATTATAAATTTACGAAGAAAATCGATATATATTTAAAGTGTGAATTTCGATAGTAAATAAATTCAACAATTGTTCAATGCTTCAAAAGTTTTTCAAATTCACATTTTTAAGTAAGGACATCTTGGTAACGAATTCAATAAGATGATATTTCTAAAATTGTTTTTGGTTATCCCAAATGGCACAAGAAAACTCAAAAAAAATAAAATAAAATAAAATAAAATAAAATTAAATTGTGTATTTATATGTACATGTAAATTCGTTCGCGTTGGAGTTTTTTTTCACACAAAATGGCACCAGCTTAGAAAATTGGCATTTGGAACTCCGAATCTTGTTAAAAATAATTTTTCTAACAAAAACTTTGAAGCACTGTACAATTGTTGAATTGATGTATTATCAAATATTCATATTTCAAATTTTGTGTTTGTAATTATATTAAAAAATGTTAACTATAATTATCTCATGAATAAAACTATTTATGTAATTTTATTATAATTTAATACTAATAAGCTAAAAGAATAACTCTTAAAAGTAACACATCACAAAACATAAGTGATTAAAAAAAATCTAACAAAAGAAGAGTATAAAAATAAAAAATAGAGACAATTTCAAAACTAGTCCCACAGGTATTGTACTACTTGCGATGATTGTGGCCAGCGTGTCAAGAAAAAAATACCACCTCTATGCGACGTGGCTTTTCATGTCCGAAATCATAAATCTGGCATCAAAAGTCCTACTTTTGATTAATTTTTCAAGGTTGTGGGCATATTTTGATTTTCATTATTCCTTGTAGACAAAAATTGTCACCCTCTACACATGTGGGACTAGTTTTAAAATTTTCCTTGAATTTTAGTTTATTTTTCTACTCTCGTGTATGCGAATGTGCTACATGTTAACGGGTGGTGTCTGTATCGAATTATAATAGAAAGGGAGGAGGTTGTGTCGGTGTTTCGGAGTCATCCGAGAAAATACGCATTGCACACGACGAGGTCATGGGAGTTTTCGGGCTTACAAGAGTCGACAAATTCAAGCAATATTGATAAAAACTCTTTGTTATACAAATCTGGATATGGCAAGGGGGTCATTATTGGTGTGCTTGACACAGGTAATTTTTACATATTGATGAAGAAATTATAGACGATGCATGTTGAGTTGAATGAGTTTAATTGTATATACAATGAGTGTCATAAAACGAACCTCTTAATATAACTTTGGTGTTTCATTAGGTATCTGGCCAGAGTCTGAAAGCTTCAATGATGAAGGGATGGATGACGTACCAAAGCAATGGAACGGAACCTGCCAAACTGGCGAAGCATTCAACTCCTCAAATTGTAATAAGTAAGAAATTTAATATTTATTATTATCATTTTTTTGTCTATGCACGAGGGAAAATCTTATAAAATTTTTGTCTAATGCTCAAGGAAAATTTCATAAATTGTAATGAATTTTCAACCGCAATTAAACTTGACTCATTATGTTGACCACTACAAGTTGTAATGAATTTTCAACAGCAATTTCAATGTAATACTCCAATAATATATATTCCACCATTGGAATTTAACAACGAATTCCTACCATCATAATAAATCGTTGCAAAATTAATCATTATATTCCAAAGAAATTTCAATACCAACATGATATTTTAGTGTAGATCTCTGCCAAAATATTCATTGGAAATTTTCAACTGAACATATACTATTGTATTATGCAATGGAATTTTTATTTAAATATTTTACTATTGGATTATTTGTTGTAGTATAGTACTTATTTTTATAGTTGACATTTTAATTGCAGCTGGAGCAAAATATTGATGTGGCAGAACTATTCAAATTCTTATTTTTATTTTATTTACATATTTAGCAATCTATAAATTAAATATTTACAATTTAAATAATAGTCAATTAATTGTATAATTAAGCTTAATCCATCATGTTGGTATTTTATTACATAAGGTGAGAAAGTTATTATATCGACAATGGAATTGAACATGATGAATGTTAGTGTGACTGTTGATCAATTCCCGATTTGAGTTGATAATCAATTTTAGTATCGATATCATTAAATCCATTCTGAAAAATATATTTATTTTTTTTCTACGATCACCGGAAATCTGTGGTTCCGCACTTTGAGTCATGTCAATGTTTCCATTTGTATATGAACAAGACTATTTTAGTTGACTTTATGAGTTATGACTACCACCTCCACCTCTTTTTTTTATTTCTAACTCTTTTTTTTAATAAAAAAAAATTATTAATTAACCAAATTGAATTGGTCCAACAATGTTATTTTTACCATATATACTAGTGTCCAACATCCTAAAATTTTACTTAACATATGTTAAACGTAGGAAAATCATCGGCGCCCGATACTACCTCAAAGGCTACGAAGCCTTATTCGGCCCCATTAACAGATCGTACGACATTCCATCCGCCCGTGACATGCACGGTCATGGGACCCACACTGCATCCACGGCCGCCGGTCGTGCCGTCAGCAACGCCTCCGCCCTCGGCGGCTTTGCCGCGGGGACAGCCTCTGGCGGGGCCCCCTTAGCCCACATAGCCGTCTACAAGGCGTGCTGGGCCGACCCGGACAATGGGGAAACCGATTGCTTGGACGAGGACTTCCTTGCTGCCTTCGACGACGCCATTCGTGATGGTGTCCACATCATCAGCGGCTCGATTGGGTCATCTAGTCCGTACGAACAGAACGGCGTCGAGATTGGGTCCCTACACGCCGCCCGGAATAACATCGTCGTGGCACTCAGCGCGGGGAACGCCGGGCCCACACTGGGCACCGTCGAAAATCTTTCTCCGTGGGCAATCACAGTCGGGGCCAGCAGCATCGATAGGGTTTTCCCGGCAGCGGTCGTGCTTGGGAGTGGCGTCCAACTCCAGGTGATACTTTTCTCAATAATAATAATAATAATAATAATAATAATAATAATAAGAAAATAAATGTTATATTGCAAATCGGTCTTATTAGATTATGAAAGTAGCAACTTAGGTCACACTGCTGGATATACTCATAACATTTCAAGTCTTGTAATTATTTATAATTTTTTACTGCAATTGTAGTCATTAATTTGGCTGTCAAAATTTTTAATTTATATATATGGGATGGATTTTGATTACCAATTAAAGTAACGGTCATATGACTGAAATTGTAACAAAATATTAAATAACACGGCTTAAATTGTTATATGTCACTAACACCTAGATTGATACTTTCATAATTTAATAGGATCGAAATTGCATGTTAGCCGAAAATAACACTTGGATTGATGAATTCTTTATTTCCAGGGCCAAACAGTGACTCCTTATCGCATGAAACAAACGCTGCATCCATTGGTTTTTGCGGGTGATGTAACCTATCCAAATGTGACCAAAAACGAATCCGGGTCCGTTTATGGTGTTTTTTTTTTTTTTTNTTATTTTTGTGACTAAACCAAACCTGATGGAGGATAATCATTGTACAGGCAATGTTTACCAGATTCCCTCTGTCCTAAAAAGGCCAAAAATAAAATCGTACTGTGCTTGAGAGGAGTCGGGTTGAGAATCAGCAAAGGCATGGAAGTCAAAAGAGCCGGTGGCGTTGGTTTTATCATAGGAAATAGTGAAGCCAACGGGAACGAAATAACTGTTGATGCCCATGTTCTTGCAGCAACGCACGTCACCTACGAGGATTCTCTCCGCATTCTGAAATATATAAACTCTACGAGAAGACCACACGCGCTCATCACGCCAGCTCAGACGGTTGTGGGCAACATACGCGCACCTTTCATTCCTACTTTCTCCGGCAAGGGTCCCAACTCACTCTTACCCCAAATTTTGAAGGTAATAAAACTAGTAAAACCATTTCTAATTACTTTAAAGTGTGGAATGTAAATTTTTTTTATTTTTATTTTATTTTTCACTGTGGATACATCCATGTATATATATAGCCGGACATCGCGGCTCCAGGATTAAATATATTAGCAGCTTGGAGCGGTGCATCTGGTCCATCAGCGTTGCGTGAGGATACTCGCGTTGTAAAGTATAATGTTTACTCGGGCACATCTGTTTCCTCCCCGCACGTATCAGGCGTGTTGGCCCTTCTCAAGGCCGTTTATCCCCACTGGAGCAGCGCCGCGTTAAGATCAGCTCTCATGACTTCCGGTATATATGCATTTTCGCGTCAACTGAATATTCTTCAAGTTAAAAAAAAAAATGTTAATAAAATTAATTTAACATGATTTAATATTGCAGCAACGGTGGTCGACAATGAAGGGAAGCCCATTCTGGATTCATCCGGAATCCAGGCCGGCCCGTTCCAGTTAGGGGCGGGTGTTTTCGACCCGAACAAAGCAGCCGACCCGGGACTCGTGTATGATGCGACTCCCAAGGACTACCTCCTCTTCCTATGCGGCACTAAGTATAAGAAACTTGTTCTTCCCTTCGAATGCCCAATGAGACCACGGTATCTACTCAACCTCAACTACCCGTCGGTAGCCATACCCGAACTGAAAAGCACAGTCACCGTCGCTAGAACGGTCACAAATGTGGGCCCCGCTCACAGCGTGTATACTTCCAGCATAGAGCATCCGCCAGGGACCTACGTGAAGATATGGCCTTCCAAGCTGCATTTTGACCACACCGGTCAGAAGATGCGTTTCTTCATCACGGTAAAAAGGAGTTGGAAATTTAACAACTACTCCTTCGGATCGTACAAGTGGACTGATGGAGTTCGTGTTGTCCGGAGTCCTATGGCTGTTTCACTTGCTCTCTAGCCGCCGCAGCCGCCGCCACCGCCGCCCCTTTTGTTTTGTGTTTTTCCGTCTTGCTTTCGAGAATTTCGCCACAATAATAAGTGATGAAATGGGGATTATGTGCTGGTCAGATCCTCATTTGTAATTCCAATTTCCATGTGGCATAAATAAAATATAATAAAATATACACTTGCTAGTTACAAATTTTCTGCATTTCATACAATACCCATAATTTGCCGACAACTACATTTTAATTCATCCTAATTTTATATAACATAATTTTCTGGTTTCTCCCATCTTATCCTCTAAGAGGATGATTGGATATAAAAATTTTTGATTTTGTTTGGATATTTTCGTTTGATTTGATTAATTTTGAAAAAGTTGGTAGGTTCGTTGTTAGTGGGTATATTAGAATAATATTTAAAATAAAATGATTAAAGTTGATTTGATGTAAAGTATGAGAGAGAAGATTTGAAGTGATGATTAGTTAAAATTATATGAGTGGATGAATAGTGAATTAAGGTAAAGTGGTGTGTAAGAATGATGGATTGATATTATTTAATTATATTGATAATATTGATGATAGTGGGGTTGAGTTAAAAAAAAAATAGTTGAGTTAAAAATGTTTGAATTTTTTTGAGAAATATATGATTCCCGCCATTACTTTACTGCTATAAGTAGTGATTTGAGAATACAAAATTTCAAACGCAAATGAAACAGAAAATAAGAAGGGGATGGTAGTAAATTAATCCACACCTAAAGATTACTGGTGGATTTTTTTTTTTTTATCCTTGAAAACAGTTAAATTCAACATCAGCCCCTTCATAATATATAGCAAAAACCTGAACTTGAGTTAACTACGACAAAGATCGATCAAAACTATCCTATTGTGAAATCGAAAATCTTATTATAAAATCCATTTGATTAGAAAAAGAGCCAACATGCAGCCCGTATAGAAAATGTTGTTCACTCATGAAACTAATGATACACTGGCCAGTATAAGTTCTTCCTTCACTACAAAGAATACTCTAATACGTGAGACAAGAATCGAGTCCAACCTATGGCCATCAAAAAGATTGAATACGGAAAACAAAGAAAAACATTCTAAAATCTGCAACTTTCAGACTAAGGGAGCAAACTTTCGCCCTCTTGTGAAGGTTCCCTCTTTCCATCATACCTATGCTTTCCGAAGGAGAAAGGAACATATTTATACTTGATTATGTGTTCTATTTGAGTCATCATACACAGCATAATCCAGTAGAAAAGAAGAATTGGCCGATTAGCTAACATCATATCATATACACAGTAAGAAACATGAGATACAAGAAAAAAAAATGGATCAAACAACTTATGTATCACAGCAAATTCATAACTTTATGCTTATTTTCAAATTAACAACAGTTGCTATCAATAAAATACGATCCAAAACAACTAAGAAATCACTTGAACATATGTCTCACAGCGGCTCACTTGGTGAATTATTCTGGCCAAATAACACAACCCCTCTGATTGGTCGGAAAAAATGTGTATTTTATATATTTATTAGCGTATTTCCATATGCTTAATTTTATCGCACTTATTGTTTTCGACTTATTTATTTATAAATGGATTCTGGTGTTTTGATATTTTTATTGTTTATTTTTAGGATATTAGAGTATTTTTATGGACGACGAGACGTCAAGCGGACAGTACGGGGAAGTCCCATACTCTTTTGCGGACAGAGCTGGTACCCCATATCAGCCTAAAAAATTGGCCCATTTGTGCCATGTGCGAAAATTAAGCCCAAGTGAAGACTTTACTAGCCCAATACTTGAATATAATGGTTGCTTGGGGAATAGGAGATGGGCTTATAATTAATGGAGATATAGAAGGCTCACTTGGGGTTTATTTCAATTGATTATAATTTGAAAAGATACGCAAGGCCCTGGGAGTATCATTAGGAGGAAATATATAAGCATACTTGGGAGGAATTATTTGGAGAGACACTATATGGGATATTCACGCATAACAGAGAAGGGAGAATTCACACAAAAAAAAAGCAGAAAACAGAAGCCGCACGGGAAGAGAAAAAAGACGGGGTATCCGGCAAACACGGAGAGAAGCTGCACCCCTTATTCTTTTTTTTTTTATTATTTATTATGTTAGAGTAGATTTTCTTTCTAGTTCCGGGAAAGTCGAACCCTACGTACTTGATGATGTTTGATTGATTATCGTGGTTGATGATTTCAATATCCTTTTGGAATTGTTTGTGTTATTTTGAATAATTAACCATGATGTGTTGAGTCTTATTTAGATTGATCACCTAGATTAGGCTTTTCATATCTACAGTTGAATTAGACCTTCAATCCGTAATTGTTGTTGTGTTTAATTCATCAGAGGCTACCGAAAGACGGTAACTACAGGGGATAGCACGGCCTATTTAAGTGAAACGCAGTTGAATTCACTACTTAGTCTAGCCTATTTTTCTAATTCGTAAAGCGGCTAATTGTATTAAATCTTGAAAACGTTTTTCTGGACTGTATAAGAAGTCAAGTTTAATCGTAGAGCGTCTCGCGTTAAATTAAAAAATAAAGAAAAATTCGGGTAGCAGACCGTGTCGTTACCTAGGGTTAGTAATTCCATAACATAGCGAGATTTGATACAAAAGTTGATTAGACGAGTCGGTCGAGGGTGTAGACGGAACCGTGAACTAGAAGCTTTCTCTTAATTTATCGTTTTTCATAATTTCATAATTAATATAAGAATATCACAATTTGATTCACACTCCTCGTGGGATCGACCCTTATTTGCCTCTACTACTAGTTAGTAGAGGTTAATTGAGGAAAAATATAAATTTTAATTTTGCCGCGTTGCGACACGCGGTCACCCTCTTGTAAAAATAATAATAATAAAAAAAAAATCCCACTACTAATCCCCTTCACAACTCAAAAAAACTCCCAGCAAATAAATTGACTACTACTTCTAATTCAAAAATAAAATCTTCCTACAACTCTCACGTAATCAAATCTCCCAACAATAACTAAATGTTCTTCACTGATCGCGCGTCGCAACGCGGCAAAATTAAAATTTATATTTTTCCTCAACTAACTCCTACTAACTAGTAGGGGTGGCGAGTGAGGGTCAATCCCACGAAGAGGGAAGCCGAAACCGCACACAAGAAGGATAACACTTGCAGGCTCATGGCCCACCAATTCTCCCATATATTCTGAACTCACGAGAGCACCCATAGATCCATGTAATGATCAATTAGTCTCAACATTCACCAACCAATTAATGGGCCTTACACCAACCCATGTGTGTGATGGCCATTTGCTTTACTTCTTTCACGTTGGGCTTAGGTTAGGCTGAAATTGGGCTAGTATCGGGTACAATATACTCGACCATAAAAGTACTTTAATATCCTGAAAATAAACCATAAATACTGTTGGGTTCGCCTGTACCGTACGGGTTATACGCAGCGGAAAATTATGTTTAAAAATAAGTATTTATCATAAACACTCAACCCATACGTACATATAGCGAATGCACGAATCGTCATCATTTAAAAACATGTAATAATACAAATTTTGATTTGTTATAAGTAAATTAAATTTACCTTTGTTCTTGAACTCCTTGAAAATTGACGATGAATGAGGGAATCAATTCTCGGTTTGGTAACGTCCACTTCTTGATGTTACTCGCTTTAGGAATCCAAATGTTTTCCATCTAATCGTGTCCACCTTTTGAAATTCGGTTCCGTAATAGTTTCTTCGCTAGTAGAAACTATTCGATTTTTATTCAATAAGTATAGAATATATTTTTAGGAGATTTTTACAAGAACTCTTTCTTGTTTTATATTTTGAAGAACACTTGTTCTTTTCTCTCTTTTTCAACTCTTGAAAAACTTAGCAAAACTTAGATTAAAATGAACATCATGTATGTCCATATTTATACTAAACATTTTAGTATAAAATAATAATATTTGGTGAAATATTTTCATAAAATATAAAAAGTCTTCAAGAATATTTTCATAAAATATTCATTCTTGAATAGGACTATTCCCACTAAATATTGTATTAATAAAAATAAGATTAATTATGTAGAGTAGTTAACAATTCCAAACCACCATAATTAATGTATTCTTATTAATATAAAATAATAATTCTTGAAAATAATTTTTCAAGACTTTATTATTTTAATCTTTTGTCTCATCTCCTCATTTAATAATCATATTATTATTTGGATTTGAAATTTAAAATCCAATTTTAAATTCCAACTATTTATTTAGTAATTCCATTAATTACTAAAGTAATATCCAAAAATACAATTAATCAATCTAATTGATTAATTTAATATATTCCTTTAATTGACATCTAATCAAATTAGTTTTGTCAATTAATTCTAACTCTTTAGAATTACTATGTGAATTTTACCTTCATTCAAAAATTGGTGTGACCTTTTAGGTTCACAATTAATACAAGTAGTGGGCTTACAACTCTTTGTAATTTGAATTAATCTAATTAATTCTTATTCATGAAATTAACTCCTTAATTTTAAGAACCCACATATCATGGGAACATCTAGCAAGTAGCATGAATCTAGTATTAAGTGAATAGCGAGTAAACCTATTTCGATTACAAGTCCATACATGTAAAATCCTTTCGACATCCAATTTCTCGATTAAATCTTGGGTATGATTTTGTCGAAACCCAAATTAATTTAATAACTATGATTCCATTTCAAGTTTAGTAATTCGTGTATGAATCTCTATTCATCCCGCCTTGGCCAAGGACTTTGAATTACTAACTATGAAACACATAGGAAATTCACTTATCTTTATAAGTGTCGAATTTTTTGTTGGCCACTGACAAACTTCCATACATATTAATATAATACCAAAAATATCCCTTTATATGATTGTGCTAGCAATCAAAAGGATAAATCAAATTAAAATATAATATGCACAAAGTTACCATCGTGCCTCAAGTCTAAGGATTAATCATGTACTATTGTAACATGAAAATTCTTATTCGACAGATAAATTATCATTAAGAATTTTCATACGGTTATATTCAGTGAACTTGTTCTCTAACAAGCACCCACATATATGTATTTGCGTCCCACGCTAATGTTGATGGAATGCAACATTCTTGTCCAACAAGTATACATCATATATGCAAGTCTTTTCCGGATTTATTCGATATCCCATCTCGAAACATCCAACGACTTGGAACTGTATTTAAGATCACAGCTTTCAA